GCTGCTGAGAGGGTCACTTCCCAGCCAGTAGGTGTGCTGGATATTTTTGTGTCCCAGGTGAAGCACTCTGCACGTGTCCTTGTTGTACTGCATCCTGTTGTGTACCGCCCACTTTTCTAACCTGTCCAGGTCTGCTTGCAATCATTCCCTAACCTCTGGCGTGTGCAGTTTACCCCACAATTTAGTATTGTCCACAAACTTGGACAGAATACACTTCACACCCACATCCAAGTCACTGAAGAAGATATTGAAGAGTACAGGTCTAAGGACCGAACCCTGCGGGACCCCACTACCCACCTCCTTCCAGGTCGATACTGACCCGTCTACTACCACTCTCTGGCTGTGACTGCTAAGCCAATTTGCCACCCACTGGACTGTGTAAACATCTATACCACAGCCTCTTAATTTATTTATGAGAATAGGATGAGATACTGTATTGAAGGCCTTGCTAAAGTCCAAGAAAATGACATCCACCTCTACTCCTGCATCTAAGCATTTTGTGACCCTGTCATAAAATGAAACCAGATTGGTCAGGCACGATCTACCTGCTACAGATCCATGCTGGTTTCCCTGCTGCATTAATTTTCCCACTGGACTCCCACAAATATGATCCTTCATAATCTTTTCAAAGACCTTTCCAAGGATGGAGGTGAGACTGACTGGCCTATAATTACTCAGATCCTCCTTCCTCCCCTTCTTGAAAATAGGGGCCGAACACCCCCACAGACTCAGGGGCCCCTCGTCAGCATGCCTGGCCCACAGCTCCCCTTCTCTCCCCAGGGTTACACCCCACTGGGCTCAGGTGGCTGCAGCCATGCCTGGCCTCACTACCCACTCTGCAGGGTCTTGCACCACACCAGGCTCAGGTCCCGTCACATGGGCATGCCTGGCTCTAACTCCCTCCGATGTTGCATTACCCACCCTAAAGTGGGTGCTGGGGTTACTAAGGCGCCCCTCCTAACCTTTCACCAAGGCAGGAACTGGTCTGGCATTTCTTGAGGGCTCCTATGCCACTAGGAGCCTCACCAGACCACCCATCCTTGGCAAGGTGCAGTTTCAAGTCATACCCAGGACCAGGAGTTTCCAAGCCACCCCATAGCTCCTGCCCTTACCTCCATGTTGTCTCCAGAGCAGCGGCTCTGCCAGGAGATATTTCTTCCTCAGCACCAGGCAGCAACTGCTGCCCCCAGCTCTACTGGCCTGAGGCTTAAGATGGCCACTCGTCAGGACTGGGCTGCACCTGCCTGCTGCCTGGCCCAGTTCTTCAAGTGGCAGAGCACCGGGAGTGCTCTGACACCTGCTTCCCCCCTTAAAATGGTTCCTGGGGACGGCTTTCCCTGCTGCTCAGTCAGCAAGCTCCCACCGAACTTGCAACATCCCTAAGTGGTGAGCACCCCACTGGTGCTCTGCCACAGCCATCCTCAGCTACTGTCGTTTCCAGTGGGTGGGACTCTAGCTGTATTGGACCCTTCCAACACAAAACCCAGGTTTCATAATTAATACATTAAGTCTCAGTGGGCATCTAAAATGAGTTTTGGGGTCCCAAAGTGCCAACTGGAATGCTCTAAGATAGAAAGCACCATCCTAACATTCATTATAATCTGCCTGGCAACTGACTCCCCAGCCCAGCCCCTGGCTTCTTTACTTTTCATTCCATCCAGGAAGACCACACACCAACTGCTGACACTTCCTTAGCCTGATGAAGGGTTTTTGAGCTCGAAAGCTTGCTTAATAACTATTCTCCAACCATTTGGGTTGGTCTAATAAAAGATATCAAATTCACCCAAGAAACCTTGTCTGCCTACCATCCTAACATAAGCATTTGGGTTTGGAAAATTGGACCCATTAGATATAAGCACTGAATCTGATAACTAGACCTGATACAATCTGAGCCTTTTATTGTGTTTTTATTCTCTCTGAAGGAAGACATCCTTGTTGGTGAACAATGTTTTCGTGATTATAGCTGCAATCTTGTCAGGATTCAGTCGAATGGCAAAATCCTTTGAAATGATCATGCTCAGCAGATTTTTTACTGGAATCAATGCAGGTATGGTTTCACTGCTCTAGTGATGAGCACTATAAAAATAAATGTTTGTGTTATTAAGAATTCTAGCGCCAGTCTCTCTCTTGTCTAGGTCTGCTAGGTCTTGATTTCGAGTTTGGCTTTGAAAATTAAGATCCTTGGCACCAAAACGGATTATACTAGCTGTTTTTCCATGCCCATTTTCCATTAAGAAACTAAATAAACATAGATCGCCAAACAATATTTGACTTGTTCCATATAGCAATATGTTTCTGAAATGTAATATGTAGCATTCTGTGCCAGTATCTGTATCCAATATCTGAATAGGCCACCCCAGACACACATACACACAAGATATGAAATACCTTTCAGAAAAGGAAATTTTAGTGATAAAAGTTGTGGCACTTGACATTTCTCTATTTTTTTGGTTGCCATTAAAACTGGTTTACATATTCCCAGTCTTGAATTAGTTAATGAAATCTTTGTGACCATAGAAGAGTTGATGCACTTGAACAATTTTATGATCTATATATACACAAATTAAAAATTCAGGTTTGTAGACCTGCTTTCCAGCTTTTGTATATGCAGACTAATAACACTGCCTATGTGCAAAGAGTATACAGCATGTACAAAATTTGTAGTTGCCAAATACATAAATACATGCACGTACAGTTTTGCATAACTCGAGTGTAAGCTGTTGAGCTTCCTCACTTTAGCCACTACTATTTCGTCTCTAAAATTCATGAGCACCTAGAGTGAAAAATCAATGCAACTTTAATAATAATTATCTATGCAGTTTATTTAGGAACTTGATTACAATATTCAAATATATATTTACATAAACTGACATAAGATACAAGGAAGTGAAACATATTGAGGGCCTCAGTAAACAAAGTAAGCGCATACAGTGTAATCTGCAGAAAGGATATAGCTAACTCCCTCCACTCAGAGCTGTTTTAATTTTTCTTTTTCTCTCTTGCTGTCTGGAAATAAGCTAAAATCAGTGTTGGTCTATATTGTCCACCAGGTGTGAGCATGAACATTCAGCCCATGTACCTGGGGGAAAGTGCGCCCAAGAAGCTCAGAGGAGCAGTGGCATTGACATCTGCATCATTTACAGCCTTGGGGTTGGTGCTGGGACAGGTTTTTGGAATTAGGTAATGTATGGTTCTGTTTCATTAACCAGGCATGGTTCTGTTTCATTAAGTCTCTTTCTGTCTTGTTCATATGTGCACATTAACAGGGAGGGTATGGTGCTTTTTTTTTTTTAGGTGGCGAATTCAGCAGTGGGGTCAATATTGACATAGGTTAGTTACACAACGTGGGTCTAAATGGCAACACTACTTTCACTGATTTGGCATTTGGTGGGCATACACAAATGTGACCTACATCAGTGTGGTATTCTTTGTGGACCAACCCCAACCATAACATTTACTTAAGTGAGAGACGGGCCTGCTTACGTAGGCCCGAATTTGGCTTTAAATCATAAGGGCGAGGGAGAGGCAAGTTAAGTTACCTTATGAGAAGAGGTTGTTTTAGTTTACACCTTTGTGTTAAATGCTTTTCCTGCTACAGTCCCCTCTTCCACATATAAAGTATTTCCTGTTCACACCTGCTGAATATCAAAGTGATAAGAGGTACATGCCTTTACCACTTACTCCTTCCCAACTTGTAACTTATGCCATCACTGATATCACCATTGATCCAAGACCACACTGATTCTCAAACCCAGTTCTTCCTAGTGGGTTATGTTGCCGTCAGTATCCTCAACCAACATGAGATGCTATATTTCACTCAATGAATATTGTCTTATGAAATATTTTATCCATTTACTTTATTCTTGTTATATTTTACTTTTCTCCAGCGAACTATTAGGAGGAGAGGAGAGCTGGCCTCTTCTTTTAGCTAGCAATGTGGTGCCTGCTCTGATCCAGATGGTAACTCTGCCCTGGCTCCCTGAAAGCCCAAGGTACCTCTTGATTGACCGAGGGGACAAGGAATCCTGCATCTCTGGTGAGTGTAAAATGACAATGTCAACCTCCCATTCAGAAGACAAGATTTACAGAGAGTGCAGACAACCTGATGTCAGTTTGATTGTACATTTTTTTACAAGATGCAAGAGGTAATTCCAGAATATTTAGTCTGTGTGTTTTATTCTGTCCTGTAGCACTGCTAGTTTCCTTTAATAACTACCAAATACTTTAGCCCAATGCAATGCCTATGGTATTTATCTTATGATGTAGTAATTGCTAACCAGGTAGGGTGACATTTCTTAAAAACACTTTTACATGCCCAGAATCCATGTACAGACATGCAGTCATGGTTGTGTTGGCACTTACTTCAGCTATCTTGTTGGTTTGGTTTGGTAATTGTACATGCAAATGAGGATACACTTTTATCCATACTTTTTTGTGTGCAGACTTGGGTTGCCATTTTTGAGAGCTGTTCTCCCTCTTCATGGTAGCCTTTCATATATTTGAAGACTGCTGCCATGTCCCTATTTAATCACCTTTTCTCCAGGCTCAATTTGGCACGTTTTGTTCTTCCAGCATTGCGGAAGCTGAGAGGCAGTGCTGACCTGAGTAGTGAGATAGAAGAGATACTAGCAGAACAGGCTGCCATCGAAGGTCAGAGGGCAAAGAAGCCATGGGAGCTGTTCCAGAATCCAGCTGTCAGGTGGCAGCTGATCAGTATCATTGTGCTGAGCAGTGCCATGCAGCTCTGTGGGAATGACTCGGTAAGCATTGTGAGAACTGTTTCACGAGCGGTACTAGAAATGAGGCCAAAGTGCAAGAAGAGATACTAGCAGAACAGGCTGCCATCGAAGGTCAGAGGGCAAAGAAGCCATGGGAGCTGTTCCAGAATCCAGCTGTCAGGTGGCAGCTGATCAGTATCATTGTGCTGAGCAGTGCCATGCAGCTCTGTGGGAATGACTCGGTAAGCATTGTGAGAACTGTTTCACGAGCGGTACTAGAAATGAGGCCAAAGTGCAAGCCACACCTTGTCACTTCTTGGGCAGATT